AGCATTCCCTTTCAGTTTCCACTAGTGTCCTTGTTTCAGTAGGTTTCTGTAGCTGAGGGAGTGTGATGCTGTGTGTGTGTTATGGGTAATGCGTGCATTGTAATGAGATGTCTGTTGGTTTATTTCCACCCTATATATATATAGCAGTGGTTTCTAATAATAATTTGCATATTGTCAAAAACAGAAAAACAGCAGGTGAAAAGTTCAGAAGTCATGCTGGCACACAAGTGCACAAAGGAAAACCTGCTTAGTAAAAAAGTGAGGCATTAAAGACTTGCAAATACAGCTGGATGCATATGGACAATCCATACAACCTGGTTGTCTTAACCCCTGTCTTTTTACATGGGTGTCTAGGCGTGTGCATGAATTTCGTTTGGATGTACACGCATTTCGTGTGTATACAGTGCAAACCTGTGTCTGTCTGACTAAATGAAATAAAAATGATAACCGTGGGTAGATCGGGAAATCAAAAGTGCGATTTCATGGCTCGACAGCACCCACACAAGGGTCCTCTTACTCTGTTTTCTTGGAAAGGACTGCTTGTCCAGAGCAGGCAGTCAGAACCAGACTTGGGTACCAGAAATCAGGCTGTTCCATTCCCCACGGCGGTTGCCAAAAAAGTCTCTGCAATATTTCGCTTTTTTCATGCAATATGGAATGGCTGGTGTGTTTGAATGACATACCCACCCCATTTGGAATCTGTCCATGTTCTAACTGGCACAAGGCAGGGTACTCCCTGGACAGGACACCAGTCCATCACAGGACAAACACACAAACTCAAACACACACTCACACGAAGGCCAGTTTTCCCAGAGGCCAGTTAACCCACCAGCATGTCTTTGGACTGTGAGAGGAAACATGAGCACCCGGAGGGAACCCATTCAAACTAGGGAAGAGCATGCAAACTCCACACAGACAGCACCCCAGGGCCCCCAGCCTGTGACTTATTCTGTCTCCATTATTGCATTTGAAAGCTGGTCCAGTCCCTCTGATTCCAAACCCGGGATTGAACAGCCTGGAAGTTGAGAATCAGTGGCATGACCCCTGCTCCAAAACAGCAGCGTCAAGGGCTCAACACACCTGCTAGGGGGAGCAGCAGACTCTCCCATGAGGGACTTTGGCCCTGCACCCCACCCCTCCACCCCCTGCCTTCTTCCCATGGAGCCCAGCCAGCTGCCAGGGGTCCGGACAGGGAAAGGGACAGGGAGGCCAGCGGATGCAGGCAGAGTTCCTCAATCAATCAGTTCCCTAACGGCTCTGTGGCTGCCGGCCAGCCCATCCCGACCGCAGGCCAAGCAACTTGAGATGCCAGGCGGGGGGGGGGCTGACCTCACCGGTGTGCACCAGCCTTTAATAATTTAGTAAGGCGGCATGCGCCCCCTGCTGGGCGGCAGTGAGGTCTGCGCCCTCTGGTTTGTACTGCCATGGCTGACGTGGTCCAGGAGCCTGTTTTTCCGAAGGGCACCGTCCTGCTCTAGCTTGACATGCACAGCACATATGTGCCCCCATCCATCCTGGGAGACGGACAACCCTCGTTTTCACACCTTCATCAGACAGGCAGAGCAGGGAGCCAAGAGGCACAGAAGATCCACTCTAGCCATTTTTTTCCATGACACATTTATTGCTTGACAATTTAACCCACAACTAATACAAGTGCAACGCAGAGTAAAGCAGCCCAGCAGGGCCCCACTATCAAGCGAAAAGGGAAAAAGGGTACCTGTTGATTCTGGCTTAAAAGTTCAGGCTGACACATATTTGAACCACACAATAAACATATATTACTCCACAAAGCCTACGATCCAGGGCGGTATCCTGACACGCACAGCAGGTGTAAGGGTTCCATCATCTGGAGTCGGACTTCATAACGTTTCGTGCAGACAATGCGGGGATTTATCATAGAACATCAGCTGGCCGGTTCTCCCCACGTCATCACGGCAGCCGCACAAAGTGGGGGGGCGGAGTTTGGGCCACACGGCGGGATCAGGGGCCACACACCAGCACGGAGAAGGGCAGTGAACAGCAGGGGGCGCTGTACTGGCTCATGCGAGTTCCCATTGTGCTGATTCTAGCGGTCTTGGGTGATTTTTAGTTTTGCTCCTTTAGACAGGGGAAAGGCCGATAAGAAGGGCCAGTAAGGTGGTCAGGCCTCGACGGCGCCCCCTGTCTTTGCCAATGAGAAGCTGTGTCCCATTGGGGCTGTTCGTGTGGGAGGGCTCCCCACACACCCACTTCCATTGGCCACCCATCCCAAAATGGATCCAACTGCTGTGCAACAGGAGCTCGGTAAGATCACTTTATTAGCCCTATACAATTTCTTGCATTAGGAATTTGTCTTTTCACAGACCCCAGCTTGCTCTCCATGAGACACACAGACAGGGAGAGAAGCTGGGGGTCAGAGCGCAGGGTCAGCCATTGTACAGCACCCCTGTACCAGCTGGGGTGAAGGGCCCAACAGGATTCCTCTGTTGGCTGTGGGATTTGAACCGGCAACCTCCAGGTGCAGATCCTGAGCCACGGAGCCACAGCCCCACCGTGGCCATGTTCGTGCGTGACTCTGGTACAGGTCTTTGATCCAGCCGGCCTCTTCATCGCCCCGATGAGGAGGGCCTGTTGGCCACACACTCGGCCAGTCACGTCAAGCGCCAGCCCTCCAAGTGAAGGAACAGGGGTCCCCGAGGCCACAGGCTGACCCCCCCTCCCCCCTTCCCCCAACCCGGAGCGTGGTGTCCCGAGGGTCCGGGAGGCCGGGACGAGTGCAATATTGGGAGGAGATCGGACAACAGTGCACTGCATCCCACACCTGCCGGGCCGTCGGAGCCGGGGGCGCGGGACAGCGCCGGGATCGCCCCAGCAGCGCCCCACGCTCGGAATACCGCACGAGGGGCGATCCGCCCGGGAACATCTCCGGATGCTATTCCAAGGCTCTGCAAAAGACAAACCGGTTGAGTACGTTTCCACATCACAGCTGTGCACCCGAGGCACTAAAAAAAAAAGTCTCCGTTCAAAATATAACCCCGTTGTATATCACCTTCGGAATCAGGATTGGAATTCGACTTCATTTTCTTTCCATTGTCTTTATCGCATGCATCTGTTAATCTGGCCATCTGGTACATATTAGAATCCAGAAGGATATGCATATATTAATTCTGTGTGTGTGTAGAGAATTTCTAATTCCATGCTAAAAAGTAGCATCCTTTGCTGATGTTTCTGGTGGGGGGGGGGGGTTTCTAATATTTTGGCCACTGGGTATATAAGAGCAGTGAAGCTCCTTGAGGTAACAGCATATTGCCTGTCTCTATTGCTTTGCATCGTGTGTGTGTGCTTGTGATGCTAGAGATGGAGGGGGCAGAGAGTTCCTAATATTGTGGCCTTAGGGTAGACAAGACCAGTGATTTCTGTCTGAATTATAGGTCTGTGTCAAGCATCCACCTGCAGCCAATAGCGCATGGCCGGTCTCTCTCAGGGTGGTGTGACAAGGGGGTGCATCGGCACCTCGTCACACTGGGGTACCTCATATTTCGGCCAGGGGGTACACAGAGCCCGCTAGAGTCTGTGATAAGTTCCTCCAGGCAGCAGTAGGTTGCCTTTCTCCAGACAGCTGCCTCTATTGATGAGTCTTTCATCAAACATTTGCTCGACGTATGTGGGTGTGGGGTTCCTAATATTTTGACCAGTGGGGTAGATGGGAGCAGCGGGACTTAAGCACGTTCAGATTGTTTTCTTGCCCATGCGCCGCCGAGCGTCACGCCGAGCACGCTGAGAGGGAACTCGCACCCGGACACAGCTGGGACCGGCTCTGTGCGAAATACGAAAACCTGAAAGCTTCTGCCCCGGCCTCTGGGGGGGGCGCACTTTCACTGCGTGGGTTTGATTTATTCCATTGTCCGCGGCAGCTCGCGAAGAGCCACCAACACGGGCTATGATCTTAATAGCAGCTGTAAGAAAAAAAAACCCAATTTATAACAGCGCAATGCTGAACTGCGTAGTGTAAACTTCGGGTACAAGACGAAAGGACTATCGCACCAGAGCGCGGAGCCGAGTTCCAGCGCCCGCAGAGTGAGCCGGGATTATTCCGATGAGAGCTCAGCGCGCACTTGCACCGTCTCAGCCCGGCGGTGTAGACGCGAAATCGCCACTCCCGGGTCCGAAAAGTGGCCCGGCGTTATAATTTACCCCGTTGGACGCTTGTGCGTTTGTACCTGTTCAAAAACAAACTCTCGCAAACTCTGAAAGTTACGTATTCGACAACCTGACACTTTTCTGTCTGGGTGTCCACGAAGCGTTTTCTCCTTTTCGGTGGGGGCTGCTTCCCAAACAGGCTTTTGTTGTTTGTTGTTTTGTTTTTTACTTTTAATTAGGAAATGACCACACACACGCATAAATAAAAGCAACTGGAGTGACTGACGCTACACCCCACTCGCGTTCGCGGGGGTGTGGGGGGGGAGCGTGAGAATCGGATGACGCCATTCTCACCTAACTTTTGTGCGTCCCCGCGAAACTTTTTTTTTTTGGTGGTAACGGAAGTCTGGTTCAAGCGCGTTTTTGTTTGTGCGTTCCCAAGTCTGAAAAGAACAAACATTAGCTAATGAATAACGCAGCGACATTAAAATGGTTTCCACGGCGACGGTCTCCAGGCAACCGGGCATATTCTGTTAAGAGGCGAGCGGGGGGGGGGGTTTGTCCTCCTGTAGGCTGCGAGCGGACGGCACTTGCAGCGGAAAAAAAAACAAATGTATTAAACCATGTTTAGATATTTATACGATGAGGATAAGTCCTATTGTTTTATTCTGAAAATAAAACCCCCCCCACCAATGAAAGCTGCGGCTATTTGCCCGGACGCGCGCGCACAAGGCGCAGAAACTCCACAAGAAGTTTCCATCCTCCGAGAAGACACCTTACCTTTGCCTTTCGGTCCGAAGACGCAAGGGCACGTCTTTCTTTGAGCGAATGAAGTGGCATCATCCCCTTCGTTAGTTAAAAGAAAATATCTTTTTTAAAAAAAAAAACAATGCCCCACCACCAAAACAAAAAGGCAGTTTCTGTCGCACAGAAGTTTCCTGCTCTGACCGGGCTCGCTGGGGCTCAACAGGATCCGAGCGCTGGCTGGCTGTCCTCTCCTGGCGCGGTCCTCACACTTGTCGGGGGGCTGTGCTGTGTGCAGCTCCCAGGACACGGGGTCTCTCGCTTTTCCCACATCGCCGCACAATAGCCTCTCCGGGCTGAATAGCCCCAGCGCGGCCCGCGGCAGGCCACGCCTCCGGCCGCAGCCACAATGCACAAAGGCGCCTGTACTGTGCTCACTGAACCGTGCGCGATTGCGCTCTCTCTCTCTTAAAAGGGCAACGTTTCCCGGGACATCTCCCGCGAGATTTTTGGAGCGCCCGGCGCTCCTGGCATCGGCTGTAACAAAACCTCACCCCCTCCCGCCGCCAGGCGTGTGAAACGAGCGCTGCCCCGCGCCTGACTTTCGGGAGGGACGCGCGCTCACCTGTCTGTCCTGTCGCTCGCCGGCCTCGCGGGTCCGTTCAGCGTCCTGCACGACCCCCCCAGCCCCAGCCAGAGCTCTCACACTGTACCGTAACTGCACCCCCCCAACACACACACACACACACACACACACACACACCACCTCCGCCTTTGAGACCCACACCTGACACGCCAGACCAGGTACAGGCCAGGGGAACCCCACTCCATCGTCACCTGGGCGACACTTGACCACCGAGGGGTCTGGGTCTCGTTACTGGTCACTGAGATGAGTGGAAGACGGAAGGCAATCAAATTTGTCATTTGAATGAACAATTCGGGCGTTTTCACCTCGCTGTGCAGGAAACATTATGACCCCCGGACCTCTATAATATTCTTCTTTTGAGTGAACCCCGGACACAGCTTATGATCGCCCGGAAGAACCGTCAATGTATGTCCTTTCCTTATTTTTCTTTTCTGTCCAGCATGTCGCACTTGTTGCATCGCCGTTAACAGCGATTGTGACACCAAGAAAAAAATAAGACCCGTCGCACAACCAGTCCGAGACGAGCGCCATCCTGGATGATGGCTGTGGCTCCGGCGCCCCCTGTTGGCTGGTCGGGTGAATTGCATTCGCCTGAGGCTCAGTTCTAGACATGACCCCCCGGCGACCAGTCAGGTTTCCTGAAACATCGGCTCTAAATAATCCGGATTAGGATGAGAAAAATCGTTTCACGGAGACTGCGTTGATGTATCGAGATGACAAACTTTAAAATCCGACTGCGGGGCGAAAAGGGGGTTCACAGTGATTCAAATCGTGCTTCTCTTCTCTAGGGTAGTTCACAGGCGAGCGGAGGAGAGCGGTTGTGGAGAGCAAGAGTCGGCGACAGACGCCACTCACATGCGGCGATACACGACGATAGCGTATTCATTTCCAAATAGAATCGATCTCGAACTACACGTTGATTACCTGTCACATTATGCATGTGTATTATAAGTCATGTAACCTGTTGTCTAAAAATCTTTTACACAATGAACTCCAGCCATGGTTATTATTCTACAGAACACCTTTAGCATCTGACTCAACTGTATTTGTACCGCATAAACATGTATATACCTAGATAGGTGCAAGACTGCTGTTCAGTTAAAACACTAAAAACTGTATTTTTCTTGGGAACCACAATACTGATTGGATTTAATTTTAAATTATAATGTTACGGTTATCGGAAGTGATTATTGAAATATATTATATCTCTAGAGACAATAATTAACACCTGGATAGTGTCAACATTGACAGTTCTCGGGACGCTTCAAAGCAAGATAGGAACTGAGGTTTACTGGGTTGTGGCTGGGTCTGGGACTCACTGATCTAAGGAATCTGGTTTCTCGTGGTTAATTAAGTTCAGAGTAAATGATTAAGGCGTCACACTACATGACTCGACACGACTACCATTCGGAGAGCATATCAAATTTACCAGTTGCAGTTGCTGAATCTCGCGGCCTTTTCTGTCCTAGAGGGTGTCAAATTATACGACAAGGATTCGCAGGGGGTGACTAATGACACGATCCCCTCACGACTTCTCATCACGGCTCCAAATCTCGTGTTGTACCGCGAGGTCGCCTCGTTTGGGCAGCCAATCACCGTGGAGCGCACCGGAACAGGAAGAGGAGCACCGCAGGAGAGTAAACAAACAACATGGAGAGCAAGCAGATAGTTGCAGCCGTTGCTGTAGCCTGTGCTCTCCTTTGTGGCGAGAAAAAGAAGAAGAGGTTACGCCGAAGAACGCGGAGTAGGTCACATTTGTTTGGTTGTGGACAATATGGTTTGACAGTTCTTCAGCGACAATTGGAGGTGAGAAGGAATTATTTTAGTACGCACGTTAGCTACGAGCATCCCATCGCTGACTAGTAGAGACTGTTTATGAACTGTTATTTATCTGTTTTCTACTTTTCCGTTGTTTGCTTTTTCGTGAACAGCTGAATGACAGGACAGGATTCAGAGAGCTGCTCCGGATGACCGCAGAGGAATTTGATTTTCTGCTGGAGAGAGTCTCACCGCTCATATCCAAGCAGGACACCAAACTCCGGAAGGCTATCACAGCTAGGGAGCGCCTGTCCGTCACGCTGAGATTTTTGGCCACAGGTTAGTAGGCTAACCTCTGGGGAGCTTCAGTAGGGTCACCATATTTAAACATCGAAAAAAGAGGACACCCTGAGGAGCTTTCCTATTGCCTGATCTGGGAAGGGATCGGGATGGAGAGGGTTTTCAAAATATCCCACGTTTTATGGCCATTGGTAAAGTAACTGTGATGATGTTTAACTGTGTGAAATGCATAAGCCCCCTCTGCTGCAATAACAGTATCCTCTGTTTTGCTGCCAGATTTGACAAAATAATCTGTTCATTTGGTTGACGAACTCTCTCCTGGAATTGCCTGTCTGTGTTTGTCTGAGTCAACAGGAGCGTGCAGGTGAAGTCCACCTTTATCTGCCACGGAGACAAAAGTACCAGGCTTACACACGAAACACCCAGCTTCCCAGTCTTCTCTGCCACTTCGAAAACACGGAAATAAATTTTTTAGTTCTGCTGTGAATTTACACTTTCGCATTAGCATGGTGTTTGAGGGTAGGGAAAGAAAAACAAAATAGGGAGCCTTTTCGGAGGAACGCTTGTGCACTGCATAGACTGGGTAAAGACACTGGTATTGACGCCCAATTTCGCTCTCTCATGACATCATCATCCACTTACAAGACGAAAACTGAATGCTGACGTAGGTCATGAAGCGAACTAGAGAGGTTAAGAAATTCTTTCTCTTTCTAACCTCCTCATCCTTAAAACTTTTGTTAATTATTCTTCATGGTGATAATAATGGGAGTCTAAATCCCGGACGTTTTTGGATCTTTGAAAATTCCCCCCAGACGGAGATAGAAGGATCAAAATAGAGGACATGTCTGGGAAAATCCGGACGTTTGGTAGCCCTAGCTTCAGGGACTTTTCGTATTCAAGGCCCTTGTATTTCAAGAGTAGAAACATCTTGTTTGATGCCTTTTCTTCAGGAGAGAGCTTTACGTTGTTGGGGTTCAAATACCACATTGGGAGATCCACAGTATCCGACATCGTCACAACGACGTGTGAAGCACTGCATAAAGTCCTGAAGGAGGACTATCTGAAGGTAATGCAGCACAAAGCCAAACTGACCATCCTGTTGTCAAAAACAGCATCACGTCCCTGCGTGTGTGAATGTTTCCTAGTCAACAGTGACAGGCTCTCGTGTATTTCTTTCCTTTTTTTCAGACACCAACATCAGAAGATCAGTGGGGAGCGATAGCCAAGGACTTTTATGAAAAGTGGCATTTTCCAAACTGCCTGGGTGCCGTGGATGGAAAACAGATATATATACAGCCACCGGCACACTCGGGCAGCACGTCTTACAATTACAAAGGCCGCTTCTCCGTTGTCCTGATGGGCATAGCAGATGCCAACTACAGTTTCACATACGTGAGTGTGGGCTGCCAGGGTCGGATCCCAGATGCAGGTATCTTTGCCCACTCAGACCTCCACAGAGCCATGGATGAAGGACGACTCAGTATACCACCAGCAGAGCCCCTCCCAGACACAAACACTGTGCTGCCGTATGCGTTTCTGGGGGATGATGCCTTTCCACTCCGACCCGACCTAATGAAGCCATACTCCCATAGACAGCTGGACCACGACCAGAGGGTTTTCAATTATCGACTCTCAAGGGCTCGGCGTGTGGTTGAAAACGCCTTTGGGATCTTAGCAAACCGGCTGCGTGTGTTCAGGACAACCATCTGCTTGGAACCGGATAAGGTGGCGAAGATCACCTTGGCCTCTGTCTGCCTACACAACTACCTCAGACAGTGCCGTTCTGAGGCGTACATGCCGCCTGCCCTGGCAGACCAGGAGGACACAGAACATCAGGTGATCCCAGGAAACTGGAGGAGAGATGGAGCTGGGGCACTTCTGAATGTTCCTGCGGGAGCGTCGAGCAACCCTCCCCAGCAGGCCGAAGACCAGCGTGACCAACTGAAGCACTACTTTGTCTCTCCCCAGGGGCAAGTGCCTTGGCAGGAGAGGTGCATTTAAAACTGCACTGCAAGTACAGTTAGTAAAAACAAAAAGACTTGCATCTCTTCAGCACCCCTGGTTGAAAATGGACATGCTTACTGTTTGGTGCAAAAGGTACATTTTCATGGCTGCAACTACTTTTTCCGTTCGACAATACTGAACATCATCCTTAAATGTCTTGCACCTCAACATTGTGAACATCCTGAAAAATGTAAAACAGGCAGTGTTCTCCACAAATAAACATCTTCAAAAAAATAACTCTTCTTTATAAGTATAGAATAAATTTGCACAAATAAAGCAGTTAAAAGTATAAAACACCTTTAAAACAAATACTGTAAACAAATTAGTAATGCGCTATAACGTGTAATATAATGGGCACATTATCTCACAAGTACTCATCTGGCAAACTGCTGTATAGCATTTCTGTAAAGGTTAGAGGAGGGTGTGGGTTGATGTGTTAGATATATGTTATATTACATCACTTTTCTGCCACTGCGTCACAAATAATAAGGATTTAGGTCTGTATTCACAATATCCGTTAGTGGCTTCATTACTGAACGCGCTTCAAGTGGCTTCTGAAAGCGCTCTGCAGTAAGGATGAAGTACACAGTGAGAGGAGACAGCTGAATCACACGGCTACAATCAGGGTTTGGAATACAGTAGGAAAGCACAGGGGCGGCAGACGCAGGACCAGTGCGATAAAAGCCCTTCTGGAGAAGAAGGTTTTGAGTCGGGATCTGAAGGCTCTCGGGCTCTCCGACAGCCCGACACGCTGGTTCCCGGCTCTAAAGCGCAGCTGTCTTGCAGACGGGCGCTGAAGCGAGCGCACAGCGGGGGCACGCCGCCAAGCATGGCAGGAGCCCCAGTGGGTGTGGGACCCGCAGCCGCCGCTCGCTGTCGCGGGCGCATCCGACCGGCCCGCTCCGTCGTGTGGTGCCCAGGCTCGGTTCCCCTTCTCTCTCAGCTCCGCACGTTCTGAGGGGCGAGGCCCACGTCCGCCCTTCCCGGCTCTCTCGCCGGGGGTCCGCTGACAGCTGTTGGCGCCCGCAGCAGGTGTCCTTGCGGGTGATTAATGGCCGCCTCAGCCCCCCCAAGGAAGGAACTCCGTGAAAAAATCCCACTCATGCGGTAGTGGATTTCTGCTATCCCATGTGACCATCTGACACTCGCAGATCCCTCTCCGTGCGTGCAGCCTGCAGACAGACCCCTCGGCTCCCGCCGGCCGCCGCTCTTTCTCGGTTGGGTCTTCTTTTTCTCCATTCGTTGAGTGAATTTAGTCGTATTTGTTTAAGTGAATTTGATTGTGCATGATAAAAATACTACTACTACTATTGCTAATACTACTACTAATAATAATAATATGCAAAGTGATTATTGAACGGTTTCCCAGACGCATACGAACGCCGATAATCTTCTCCTAATAGGTTCCAAAGTCCTGCACCTGCTGTCCCGACAGCCTGATGGGAGCCGCTTGGAAACCGGAGCGCTGGTGAGCCGAACGAGCCGTAGCGGTCGGAGACCGGTAGTTCCTTGTTTTGGCTGGCGGGTGGCATCCCTACCTCGCAGCGCCCTGGCTCTGGGTTGAATTCCAGTCCCGGGGTGCTGTCTGTGTGGAGTTTGCATGTTCTCCCCGTGTTCTTGTGGGTTTCCTCTGCCTGCTCCGGGTTCCCCCCCTTCATCCAGACACAATGCTGGTGGGCTCATTGGCTTCTGAGGCACCTGGCGCTGGTGTGAGTGTGTGTCTGTCTGCCCTGAGATGATCTGGCGCCCGGTGCAGGGCGGACCCTGCCTTGCGCCCCATGCTTGTCGGGATAGGCCCCGGCTCCCACCGAGACCCTGGACAGGATAAAGCGGGTTAAAAAAGAAATTCTTCGGCCATTACCGTAAGGCAGAATGCAATACCCATCGTATATTAGATGGTAAAGGACCCTCCTCAAACAACCGTGCAGATTTTGTATTTTTCCGGTTACAACGAACTTTATAACGCCAGAACCGCGGAGTGTTACATTTCGGTACTTTGCTACCCTGACAAAAGCGGGGGGGGGAAATACAGACGCGTGGACACGCTCCCACGACTACATTTCACACGTCTGGCTGCCTCACGCAGCTGTGAGCCGTGACAGTGGCAGGTAACCCAGTAGCGCTGCGGTGCCTGCTGTCTTTGGCCATCGCACTGCCCGCGTGCGTGGGAAGCCGCGTTAGATCCACGGTGCGCGGTTTAGACAAGGCAGTTATTTCCTTTCTTCCAGAGCATTTTCCGGTGGAGTAACCCACGGCACTGTATTTCCTCCACGGCACGTTACGCCGCAATTCCACGGAGCCGAACCTCTATAGCGGAACGGCCTTATCCGAGCTCATGGCGTTGTTTTATGGTAAATTATTTTCACATCAACGGCCAGACCGCACGGTGTTATTCACCCCGCGCGCTGTGCGCTCACTGCGTGGGCCTCGTGCGTTGGATTGCAACTGGACCAAGCGCAACAAATGTTTCCAGCCCATCCCTTATTATCCTCGGTAAGTGGTGATGGCCCACACAGGGCTCAGGCCGTGTTAACACCTTCCAGTCAAAACTGGAAGAGGCGGCGCAGTTTCTGTCTTCTCGCGTTTCCTGCCGATGAGGAATAGTTGAAGGACACAGCCCTGCCCCACAGGAGCGTAGCAGGAGCCTGATGAGAATACGATTGTAGCCAATCAGCTCTCAGATGGAATGCTAGGCCGTGCCACACACCCGCCACTCTTTGTGTAAAGAACGCCTCTCGGGGATCCCAGGTGGCTCCACCATTCTCTTGTGGGAAATGACTACACAGCGACTGTGCAAACTATAAGGCATGTGTAACCCCCCCCCCCGCACGGCGTTCTGGGAAGGGCTGTTTGTGCGGAGACTGCTGCAGCTGTGCGCTGGGGTCCTGGGGCTGGGCTGCAGGCTGCTCTCTGTGTGGCCGGCCTGCCTGCCTGCGCTCAGTTTAGCAGGTGCTATTTCAGACGGCCAGCAGCAGTGCCCCA